ATTGTATATGAAGAGCCTATGAACATTATTAATTACTTATAGCTGCATTAATTTATTTTTGTTTTTTATTTTTCATATAAAAGGGTAAATAGGAATAAATAGTACTGTCAATCTTCATATAAATAAAATTAAAAAAGGATTGGTTTGAGAAAAGAATCAATGAAAATGGTTAATAGAAAAAAGTATTCTTAGGACCAAGTGAATTAAATTATATTGAAGCGATTCTTAAACTGGCAGTTTGCAACAATCAAATATTACCTTTTCTTTAGTAGATGGGGAGCTCACTGTTTTAAGGACTTGGCTTTGGATGGAGAAGTATGTCTCTGGTCTAAGAGAACAGCTCACCATTGTTGGCAGCACTGTTCTGACTCTTTCTGGAATTGTTTTCTCAGCTGTTTGCTTTCTGTGGGGCTCTTAGCTCCGAATAACATATTGGGGATGGAATAGTGACATATATGATTTTTGAGAATGTTAAAAAGAACATTAAATTGATATTGGCACTCTTGTAATTGCTCATCTTGTTTCTTTATTCACTTTCAGTTTGATTAATAAGCTTAAACCTGGTGTCATAAAGAAGGTCAATAGACTGTCCACACCAATAGCAGGTTTGGTAAGTAATAAATTCTCTTCAAAACTAGATCTCTTTGTTTTTGAAATGACAGGTTCTCTTATCTGGAATTATTATAGAAATTAGGTTTGGGATATTTTGCTCAAAAAAAGCATGTTTTGTGATGTCCTCCACACACCTCTCTCTGTTTCCCTTCAGCTGGAAGATTTTATTTAATTTATTTTTTGTTTGTTTTGATTTTTGTGCCCTCAAACCTCATATATCCCCTTTCTTGGCTTATTTCTTCTACAAATTACATTTGTTTGTGATACATTCCTTTGAAGCTCAGCCTGCAGACATTGTTTGCTAGTTGACCACAGTTTAGGGAAACTGTCCAATGTTTACCCTTTGTTCTGTTTCTGGTACTTCCTGCTTATGCATTACCCTTACCCAACACACAGGTCTTGGAGTGTATTTGTAAAAATGCCCAAGACCTCCTGGCTCGTTTACTTTATGTAATAGGTTTCCTACCAACATCCTATGTGATGTTGGACATGTCTTTTTTTTTTTTTTTGCCTCAGTAATATTATCCATAAAATGACTATGGATGATTCTCTAGATTTTTAGCTTTAAATTTAGAATTTTGCATACGAAAAATACCCCACACTGTCATTATATAAATATTTTGGTGGGTCAGGGCACTGAAGAGACCAATAATAAGGTGGGTCCATGTCTTTGGACATAAGTAATTTATAATTAAAATGCAAATGATGGATAATATTGAAAATGTTAGCAATACCTAAAAATCAAGGTTGATGATAGAATTCCGTTAAGAATTTTAATTTCAAAAAACACTAAGTTTAAGAGCTAATAATTAGAATGTAAAGGAAAAATTATTCTCTTTGGAATACTTAAGTTGTTCTTATAATATTCTCAGAAACCTTCTGTTTGGCTATGATGTGTATGCAGATGTTAAAGGCATGAAAAATTGAATGTACCAATACCAAAATGTTTGGGTTTGCAGTTGTCATAAAAATTGAGTCAGCGGGGTGGGGACGTGGTCAAGGGGAAAAGGGGTCAAATATATGGTGATGGAAGAAGATTTGACTTTGGGTGGTGGGCACACAATGCAATATACAGATCATGTATCATAGACTTATACACTTGAAGCTTGTATAATTTTATTAACCAATGTCACCCCAATAAATTTAATTTAAAAAATAACTAAAAGAAAATCTCATCATAATTTTGACAGAAATGAATTATTTGCAGAGTATTTTTATTAGAAAGTATCTGTCTAGCAATATATGAATGTATCACAATATATGAATATATATATGAATTACTTCTATTAATAGAGTGCATTGCAAGGTATTAAGGAATAAATTAAAGAAATTTGGTTTTTGAAGTCTTTCTAAGAATATTCAGTTTAATAAACTAAATATACTTTATATTAATATAACTTCTGTGAAAATTAAAAGTTCGAATTGTATTGAAAGTATTCTCTGTCTTCTCCAATGGCTTGAGCTATTCTTAGTTTAATGCTTAGACTTTAAATCATCATTTCTTGGGTTAATTACATGCATTTTAAATGAAATTAGCTTTTGATCTCAAACACCCTGCCTATTTGGAATGCTTGAATTGTGATGGTTTGTTGTTGGTCCCAGAGGTTTTATTCAATCTCCTGATTCTGTGATGAGATGAAATCACAAATGTAATTTTAAATCCAAAGATCTCTCCAAATACTTCTATTTCAAGCATCAGAAATTCTATCTGGTTTGGATTTTATCTCTAGAAACTAAAATGAAATGCATTTCCAGCATATTAAATTGGATGATTTCCCAAATACAGGACAATGAGCATTTTCAATTGAATGTAGGAGTAGAAGTGTGACCATAGCCTCAGAAGTGGACTAAGCTCAATTGATTTGAAGTTGTTATCCTGCCTCATTTGATTCCTTCCTCTGATGCTTGTGTGGAATAATGGTTGTGGCAAACCCCAAAGCCTTAATTTCAAGTGTGAATTAGAGCTCTAGTATCTATCTAGTAGGGTTGTTATGAGGATGGGAATGGATGATATATAGATGGTCTGACACACAGATATTCAATGAATGTTCTTTGGTAGCACATTCATTCTTTTAATAAATAATGGAGTGCCTATTGGGGCATTTTTCTAGTTTATAGGGTTGCATTGGAGGAACAAAAACAAGTAAGGACCGTACCTGCAAAATGCTTATAGGGAATAGGGATCAAGCAAATTAATTGACAAATGAGCAAGAAAGCATCAGATAATAAATGTTCTACAGAGAATTACAGTAGACTGTGACTTTGACATCCATGAGCAGTTATAGTGGGACTATGAAGATTGACCTCGAAGAATTCTTTAAGAAGGAGTATGTCAGCCCTGGCTGGTGTCACTTAGTTGGTTGGAGTGTTGTCCCATATACTGAAAGGTGGCAGTTTGGATTCCCAGTCAGAGCACATACCCAGATTGTGGGTTTGATCCCCAGTTGATTGATGTTTCTCACATCGATGCTTCTCTCTCTCTCCCCCCCCCCCCCCTCACCCTTCCTCCCTCTAAAATCAATCATTTTTTAAAAAAGGAGTAAGTCAGAAGGCTTAGATTTTGACATTTATAGAAAAGAAAGTTGAAGAAGCTGAGCCAGACTTCATATTAGTAATTTTTGTGTTCACAGCATATAACATAGTGACTGGTACGTATAGGAGATCAAAGATTTTTAAATTAATGAATAAATATGATTTCCATTGTGAAAAATGATAGGCCCTAAAATTAGTTTTTTTTTAATGGGATAGTGTGATAGGTTGAATTGTGCCCCCTGTACTCTGTCCCCAAAGATATAATATATTGAAGTTCTAAAACCCACTACCTCAAAGTGTGATTTTTTAAAAATATATATATTTTACTGATTTTTTACAGAGAAGAAGGGAGAGGGATAGAGAGCCAGAAACATCAATGAGATTGATTGATCAGCTGCCTCCTGCACGCCCCCCAGTGGGGATGTGCCCGCAACCAAGGTACATGCCCTTGACCGGAATCGAACCTGGGACCCCTGAGTTCCCAGGCCGACGCTCTATCCACTGAGCCAAACCGGTTCGACTAGTGTGATCTTTTTTTCGATTAAGGTTGTTGCAGATGATGTAACTAGTTAAGATGAGGTCATACTGAAGTAGGGTGGGCACCTAATCTAATATGACTGGTGTTTTTATGGTAAGATGGCCATATGAAGACAGATACATAGGAAGAGTGCTGTGTGACAACTGAGGATTTCATTGATGCATCTACAGGCCAAGGAACACCAAAGATTGACAGCAAACCACCAGCAGCAAGGAAGAATTTCCCAACAGGTTTCCTAGGGAGCCTGGCTTTGGGGATACCTTGATTTTGGGACTTCTTGCTCCAGAATTGTGAGACAATAAATCTCTGTTGTTTGAAGCCACCAATTTTGTGGTACTTTGTTATGGCAGCCCTAGGAAACTAATACAGACAGGTAAATGTCTCAGTTAACACATGCTTTAAAAAAACTTTTTATTTTGAAATAAATGTAGATTCACAGAAAGTTGCAAACAAAACAAAAAAACCCAACCAACCAGTACCCTTCACCTATTTCCCCCCAGATGGTAACCTCTTGCTTAACTATGGGTACAGTAGTAAAACAAGGAATAATGGAGTGCCTATTGGGGCAAGCATTTTCCTAGTTTATAGGGATGTATTGGAGGAACAAAGACAGGTAAGTACATTGGAGGAATAAAGACAGGAAGTTGACATTGATACATCCAAAGGCATTAATCAAAATTTACCAGTTTCGCATGCAGTTAATGCTTTTTTAGTAATGCTTTCAAGCTAAGTGAGATGTAGAGTGTTCTATCGTAAGGATTTTGGGAGAATTCTCCTGTTACTCCAGTGCTCAGCATAAACATGGCAACTGCATTCCACATGATTACCTTTTTCCTGTTGGGAATGGTGTCTCCTAGTTGAGATTCTCAAGAGAGAAATCTGAATAGATCAGGTTACTTTTTCATTCCGGGCTACCGATATCATGGCCAGCCTGTGCACGACCAGTTCCTTGAGAAGAAAGTCGTCTTAGCCAAATGGGCTGTGATCAGGAGTGTTGGTTCCCTTTGGCCCACTTACTTAGTTCATGTGTGTGGATTGACATGGGTTCTGTGAATGAGGCTTGTGTGGGGTAGATACATCAAGTTACGTCAAATACAGTAAGAATTACACAATTTCTGTGTAAGTTTGTTAACCTGAGTGATTGTAGTACTCCCATCCCCCTCTTCCATTTCTCCTTTCTTATTTTCTTTCCTGCAGCCATAATGTGTCCATTTTATGTCAGTTACCATGTATATTTGGCTTGGCAGCCATGGCAATGGATTTACCTGTGCACATAGGCCTGTGTGAAAAACATAAGCAATGACAATACAGGAAGAGATGTTTAGATAATTTAGAAATATATTGACTGCTTTGCTTGAAGTATTCATGATTATTATTATTTTTTATTTGGCAAGACAGTAACCATGTTACCAAAGAGATGTGGTTCTTCTTACTTGAGTGAGTTTTATATTATAAACACACTGGGGTCCCTTGGCTTGGCCTGCACCCTCTTGCAAACCGGGACCCCTCGGGGTATGTCAGACTGCCAGTTTTGGCCCGATCCCCCCAGCGAATATGTGCACTGGGCCTTTAGTATGCATATAAGATCTTTGGTTAATCTCTTCCCACCCTCTCCCCTCCCCGCTTCCCTCTGAGATTCATCAGTCTGTTTCATGTTTCCATGCCTGTGCATTGAGTATCTCCCCCCCTGGTGGTCAGTGTGTGCCATAGCAAACGGTCCAACGGTCGCTTAGGCTTTTATATATATATATAGATTGATTTTCCCTTATCTTTTCTGTCCTTCCTATTTACAAAGTCATACTAGAAAAAAAATTCTAACTCAGCAGTTTGAGTCTTCCAAAAACGTAGCTGGTGTTAATGGTGGGTATGTTTAAATCATTGAAACTCAAAATGATAATTTTATTTGGGAATAAAAAGATTCAAGCTCA